TATTATAATATATATATGGCAAGTAGTACCAGATGGGATACAGTACAGTGCAACCATTGCTTCATTCAGTGAATGTATGTTGAGCACTTATTATGTGCCAGGCACAATGTATGTGAAACATTGGGATTGGGATTTCAAAGAAAACAGGAACAGAACATAGACTCATGGGATTTAATCTGGTGAGTAATATGTGGTGACTCAGATAGGGTCAACTAGGGAAAGATTTGAGGTTTCTGAGCCAATTCTGGAAGCAAAGAATAGAGTCAAGCTAACCACAGGGTGGGTGGTTGTTCTACTTAGGAGAAGAAGCCAATGCAGTGAAGGGAATGAGCTGGAATGACCACCTCCAACCCCTCCACACAGGTGGGTGAACTCCCTGCAGCCAGCCAGAGTGACCCGCTGGGGAGGTATGATCTCGACCCCGGATGCTGTGCTCCAGGCTGTGATCAAGCGCTCCCTAGTGGAAAGTGGCTGTCCTGCCTCTATTGTCAACGAGCTCATCGAAAATGCCCATGAACGCAGCTGGCCTCAGGGTCTGGCCACACTAGAGACAAGACAGATGAACCGGCGCTTCTATGAGAACTACGTGGCCAAGCGCATCCCTGGCAAGCAGGCTGTTGTGGTGATGGCCTGTGAGAACCAGCATATGGGAGATGACATGGTGCAGGAGCCGGGCCTTGTCATGATATTTGCGCATGGTGTAGAGGAGATATAGGAGAGCTTATCAGAAAGAGATGGAAATCTGAAAACCCTATCACTCTAGCAGCTGGGCCCTGAGTCCTCCCCACTGGCTTTAAGGCTGAGCCACAAATCTCCCTGGTTTTCTGGCACCGAAGGGCACTGGGACACTTTGCTCAGCCTTTCGGGGTGGGGGGAGATCCAGATTCTTGCAGTTTGCCATATTTTTTTCTCCCCTAAAATGTCTGTAAATTCTGTCTGGGCAGGAAAGTCCCCACTTTTGTATTTTCCTGCCGAGAGTCCATGGTTCCAGATATTTGCAGAAAGCACAAGGAGATTTGTTTTCCCTAGAGGATCAAGGTGGAATGAGGAATCTGTAATCATCCCTCTCCTCCAAAACCAAGGAATCGGAGCAGGTAGGCCTATTGACTAAGCAGCATTTAGAGGGCAGCCCTGGGGAGAGACATCCAGAAGAAATGTAAGGGTGGAACCAGAACCCTAGAAGTAAATAGGCCCTAACTGGCCATCACCGAGCCCTCAGGGGAAGCCTGGATCTCTGTGCCAAGCACTTCCCTATGCAGCCCACCTTAAGGTGCAGCACCCACTGGGACTGCAGGTGCGCGGGTTGGGATGCTGAACGTTTCTGGATGAGCTCTTCCTACGCTTTCCTAACTAGGGAACAACAGGGCTAGGGTAGGAGTTAGGCTGTTGGGTTCATATGCTCAGCAAGAAGCTGCTTTTTGGCTTTTTGCTGAAACAGGGTAGGCATTGCCTTTCATGGCACACCCACGAGTTTCATAGACCTCTCTCCAGCCCTGTGATTGTAGTTATTTTGATAATTTCCTTCAGCTGTTGTTTATATTTCACAAACTGTTCTCCACATTTTTTTTTTTTTTAAGAATGGCCTTGTCAGGGCTGACATCACATTCTAGCCCATCTACATTGTTGGCATTTTAATTTATTTACTTTTTTTTAACAAATGAAAAAAAAAAAATCAACAAAACTTAAAAAGTTTTTTTTGTTTTGTTTTGTTTTGTTGGCTTTGATTTTTTGCTGTTCCTGTTGTGGGTATTCGGATACGGTGGGACAGGGATGGGGTTTGTTTTACATTTTTCCTTTTCAGCACAACCTTTGGCTTTAATAGAGGAGGAGCCAAGGGAGTCCTTGGCTGAATCTATGATGCCTGTTCCACCCTCTGTGACCCCATCTGCGACAAGGCACTTCCTCTGCTCCTGTGATGGATTGAGAGTCCAGCACTGATGCCTGTGCCCCTGAAGAAATTTACTCCCAGCTCAGCATCTCATTGTAAAACCCTGGATTTAGAGCACTAAAAGGCAACCCTCCTCCCATTTCCTTGGAGCTATGTAGCTGGCTTCTAAGCCTCACCTGACAAACAGGATAAGATTTACATCTTTGTGTCTCTGAGAACAGGCTGTGCTCTGCTGTATCCACCTAAGGACTTCCGCTCTGTTTTGGGCTACCTGGGCCCTTCTGTGGTGATTGGCAGAGTAAGTGTGGTAGGTGGGTGTGATTATTTTAATGTGCAGGTGGGAATGGGGTTGGAGAGAAATTAGGAGCTCCTCTTCACCACAGAATGGCTTCTTTTTTGGAGTTTTATTCCAGACCAGCTTACCATTGGTCTGGGTAGTTAGATCCCAGCTCCACTGGGGTTGGGATTGATGGATACAAGCTTGAAGGAGGTAGGGAACAGTTCCAGCTCTGGGGCGCTGTGCTCAGGAACTTGAAAATGCTGCTATACTTAAGTCTGGTCACATTTTTTCCACTTCCTTTTGCCCCCTGCCTGCATTACCAGGGCCCATACTCTCCTGTTTTTACCCCCAGATGGAGCCAGGAAGCTCAGTTAAGGCTTCCCTCCCCTTTGCACTAGTGTCCCTGTGGGTTGACGGTTGTGTTGTACGTGCTGTTCCATGGTGTTGACTACACTAATAAACCTTTCACTCAAATCTCTAAATTCTTAAATCACCATCACTCCCCTTCTTGTGAAGGTTTCTTCCTCTGCTTAGGCTTTTCTCCCACCTTAATTCCCTTCCTTCCTTGCTTTGTAACCTATCTTACATCTGACCTGCGTTAGGAGGACATCTTTCTGGGAGTTGTGGACACCTCATACCTGCTTTGCTGTGTGTGCCCGCTTGCATCCTTTCCTCCCTCCTGTTCCATAGCAGCTAAAGATCTCTCCAGGGATCCAAACTGTGTTGTTTCCATGGTGTGCCTTTACACTAAACTCCATGTCTTCCTGAGTGCTCCTGGGAGTGGGGTATATTTTTAACAGAAGATATGCATGCTCCTTTCCCCTCATCCTACAAGCACCTTTCCTTTGGAGTATGGAATTCTGTTGTAGGCAGGGAAGCCTCCACCCCTCAGTGGTTCCTAATGAAGAAAGTAAATATGAAAAGAGAAGCCTCTTTCATACATGCAGCACCTGATTAGAAAATAAAGGCCACTACCTCGCAAGCACAAGGTCCTGAGTTCAATCCCCAGTACCAAAAAAAAAAAAAAAGAAAAGAGAAATCATGAGCCGGGGATTTAGCTCAGTGGTTCTGCCGCCTTGCTCAAAAGCACAAGGACCGAAGTTCAATCCCCGGTACCAAAAAAAAAAAGAGAAAAGAAAAGAAAAGAAAGGCCACATCACGAAGTAGAGCATAAGAGGCAATATATGTACCCCAGTGATACTAGTAGTCTTCTTTTCTTTTTTCCCTGAGACATTTCATTTTACTTTAAGAACCTGCTGCTTGTTCTTTTCAATGTGGTGAATGGTCCCATATCTTTTTAGAGTAGTGTTTGTTTGTTTTGATAGCCCCCCTGCGTAGCCCAGGGTGTCCTCACAATCCTCCTGCCTCAGTTTCCTGAGAGTTAGGATTATAGGCAGGTGATCCTGTACCCACCTTGGGTTTGATATTTGGAAACAGATATTCATTGAATGCCTGCAAAGTACTCACTAGGGTGGGATTGGGGGGCTGGGGGTTCATGTAGCAAAATGGCACATCCCTTCGGAGAACTTACTCCCTAGGATGTATAGTATGGCATAATAAATGTGCTATGTATTCATTAGCAATATATGAGCAGAGGGATGAGCCAGGCATGGGGGTGCATGCCTGTAATCCCAGCACTCGTGAGGGTGAGGCAGGAGGATTGCCGTGAGTTTGAGGACTGCCTGGGCTACACAGTGAGTTCAAGGCCAGCCTGAACTGCACAGTGAGACCATGTCTCCAAAGGGGGGTGGGGGGGCAGAGGAAGATAAAGCCACTGACTGATGGGAATCAGGAAAGGCTTTTCAGGAGAAGCATTACTAGTTCTAGATCAGAGGTCTGCAAACCTGCTTACAACCTGTTGCCTGCTTTTGTGAAACAATATATTGGACACAGCTATGCCCTTTGTCTCTGGCTGCTTTTGCATTACATCAGCAGAGCTGAGTAGTTATCACAAAGTCTAAAATATTTGGTCCTTTACAGAAAAAGTTTGCCAGTCTATTCCAGACTTCTAAGGTAGGAGAATTAGAAGGAGAGGGAGATAATAGGATTGGTTGGTTTTAATTTTTGTACTTTATTTGGGGGGGGGTTACCGGGGATCGAACTCGGATCCTTGCTCTTGCGGGGCAGGTGGCAGAACCACTGAGCTAAATCCCCGGCCCTATTTTTGTACTTCAGTACATTTGAAAAATCAGAACACGGCCAGGGATTTAGCTCAGTGGTTTCACCGCCTGCTGCGCAAGCCCAAGGACCCGAGTTTGATCTCCAGTACCAAAAAACAAACAAAAGATTTGCTTAGCGGACACTAATAATGTATTTGTCAGGTACTAGACACCATGCTAGGCATCAGAGGTAATCTGTGTATTTGAGACATGACCTGAATGGAGTTTGTAGCTTAGTAGGTAACACACCTGAACAAATAATTCAGAAGTCCAAATGGTATGTTGCAAATAGATGGGGACTAAGTACAATGGGACAACAAAGAAGAAACAGGTCAATTACCAACTTGGCTGGACACAGGAGGGACGGCTTCTTGGAGAACTTACTGGAGCTGAGTTCTGAACAGGGCCAGACACTGGGCAGTAAGGAAAGGGGAGCGACCAGATTGAGCACTTACTGTGAGTCAGGCACTATTCTAAGTTAAACATGAGTCATCCCAACCATTTTTGGCATTACTATCAAGCCCATTTTCTCTGTAGGAAAGTGAGGCAGAGGACAAAATTCACAGCTAATAAACAGAAGTTGGGGGCTAGGGATTTAGCTCAGTGGTTCTGCCGCCTGCCTCACAAGTGCAAGGTCCCCAATTCGATCACCGGTACCAAAAAAAAAAGTTGGATTTTAAACCCAGAAGTCATCCCAGAGCATCAGCTCCTAAACATGCACATCAACAAAGGGCACATAACCAAAGAAGAATCAAGGATAAAGACTGAGGCTTCCAGAATGTGCGTGGATGAGAACATAGTGTCATTAACCAGAGTAGGGAGGAGAAGAGGATGAGCAGGTTTGACTATAAAGCAATGAGTTCATTTGGGGAACACTGGATCAGGAGCATGCTTGACTCAATAAATGTGTTTAGAATATGGAAGCATCATTCTGGAGCTTAAGAGCAAGAAATTAATGCTAAGATATTGCCCAGAGGTGATCAAGGAATTCTAGGAATGAACGCAGACACTGAGCATGGTAGCACATACCTGTAATCGCCAGCCTCTGAGAGGCTGAGGCCAGAGAATCAAGTTCTAGCCCAGCCTGGGCAACTTATCGAAAGCCTGTCTCTAAAAAAGGGCTGGGGGCCAGGGATTTAGCTCAGTGGTTCTGGCACCTGCCTTGCAAGCACAAGGTCCTGAGTTCAATCCCCTGTACCAATAAATAAATAGATTTAAAAAAGGGCTGGGGCTATAGCTCATTTGAAGGCCCTGGGTACAATCCCCAACACTGCAAAGGGGGATGGGAGGATACTTAGGAATTCCAAAGGAAATAGGTTGACATTTTAGGAGGGGTACTGGGGATTGAACTCAGGACTTTGCGCTTGTGAGGCAGGCAGCGGCACCACTGAGCTAAATCCCTGACCCGGTTAAATAATTTTGTTTTTGTTTTTGGTACCAAAGATCATACTCAGGAATAAAAAGAAATCTTGAAGTAATCACTTCGTTGTGGCTTATAAACCAGGTGTGGTGGTATACTCCTGTAATCCCAGCACTTGGGATGCTGAGACAGAAGGATCGAAAGTTCGAGGCCAGCCTGGGCTAGACAGTAAATTCAATGTCAACCTGAACAAAGTGAGACCGTCTCAAAAAATCATAAATAAATGTAGCTCATAAACTAACTGTGCAGTTCCAGACATGTTTTGTGCACCATCTCTAAAACAACTGTAGGTTGAGGTCATTTCAACACAGGTCTTTTAATGATTTGCTATAAAGCACAAGCTGCAGATTTAACCAAGCCTCTTAAAATTTGCGACAAGTTAACAACTTGGAAGGAGATAATTAAAAGCTCTTGAAACATTACCTTTTTTTTTTTTTTTTTTTTTTGGTACCAGGGTCCT